TTTGTTCGCCCTGAATAATTATATGCAGCGAGCGAACAGACTTTTTGTACTGAAATATACTGGATAGATCTCTGCTCAAAGCCTTAAGGGATGCAAGAAAATTTACTATTCATCATAATCGGAAAAAATACGAGACTTACTGTCTCAGGTGACTTCGTTTGTTTGGTTTATATAAAATATCTTTCACTTTCTTAAGTCTGGCTCTCAAATTAGTCGTTTTCCTTTCACATCTCATGATTTTAAAATAAAGATCTAAATGAATGCGTCTACAAATAACATAATAAAATTTTGCAATACTTTTATAAATATCTTGTAGTATTGATGATCATCAAGCGATATAAACATTTATTTGAAACCTCTCTCTTGAACTTACTATTGAAAATACAACTATAAGCGAAAGTGTTACTTTTAAAATAACTACCGAACGAACGCTTATCGACCAAAAAACAACATAAGAATAATAAACCACTACATATCTAAATGAATTAATAATTAATAGATACACAAAGATATTAATTTGATCCTTTCTAAGCTGCTCTCCAAAAACAATGTTATAAAATAGCTCCCTCATCCATGCTGAATAATTATATGCAGAGTGAAATCGCTTTTTGTGTAAAATATAGTGATTAGATTATTAGAGTCTGTTTCGAGTAGCTGCGAATGTTAAATGTGTTTCGTAATTAAAATAATTAAATACCTAGAGCTATTCTAGACCAACCCGCACTTGGCCAGCGTGGTGGGCTATGGTCTGATCTCCCTCGTATTGAAGGGAGGCCCGTGCCCAGCAGTGGAACGTTAAAATTTTTTTAACAAAAAAATAAAAACCGACTTCAAACAAAAGCACTAAAAAGTATAAAATAACTGATTGGCAGTTTTCATTTACTATACATACCTAATCAAATATTTTCGAAGTCGGTGTGCTTTGCTTTGTATGGGCTGGCACCGATTTCGAAAATATTTGATTAGGTAGGTATGTATTTAATAGGTAGGCTTTAATTATGTACTTAGCCAAAGCACACTGACTTTGAAAATATGTGATTAGGTATGTATAGTAAATGAAAACTACCAATCAGTAATTTTTTACTTTTTAGTGCTTTTGTTTGAAGTCGGCTTTTTTTTAAGTTTTTATTTTTCCCTTTTTAGTGTAGACAGTAGTAGCAAAGTAAGAATTCTAACGTGTTAGGCTTGTCTACAACACTCAAAATATCTACTATTAGCCGTTGAAGAGTTCCACCTATCCACCTTCTGGTCTTACCATCAGATCAGGTCAACAATACCGAACCACTGTACTATCAACGGAAATAGACACACTTGCAAAGTTTCAAGTAGTTAAATTCATCGTTAGCTATTTTTCCACCCTTAGGGGTGGTATTTTTTTTGTAATTTAAATCTAAAAAAAAACTGGAAGTATACACTTTCAAACAACACAAAAATTGTCCAAAACGGTTAATAAATGACGGAGTTCTGAGGTAACAAACATAAAAAAAAAATACAGTCGAATTGAGAACCTCCTCCTTTTTGAAGTCGGTTGAAAAGGGCAATACAATACAATTCTAGGTAGTAAGTGTTAACTGCTTAATCGGCACAGATTTACGAAGGTTTCTAAAAAAAAGGTCCAGAATGTTTGGCCTGTTTACAAAGCTTACTAGCACTAATATAAAGTATAAACTTATATTTTACTAGCGTCTGACCTGCGCTCCGCTCTGGTTTGTCTCGAGGTACCTTTTGAGGTAAGTATAAATTCCTCAGAGATAAGATATTTTCCAGCAGTAAAAAGTATTCTAATGTTGACCCGGATAACCAGCTGTCATCGTACTAAATTACATCAAAATCTGTCCAGCCGTTTTCTCGTGATGCATTCCCAGACAGACAGACAGACAGACAAAAATTCTAAAAGCTATAGATTCGACCTCTATCGATAAAAATGACTATTTTAATAAGATTTTTCTTACGTACTTAGAATTTTATTATATGTATAGGTAAATTTTATATCTACGAATAATATAGAAAAAGATAATGTTTAACCTTGTAAGCTCAAAAGACATAAAGCTCAGTATAGGTATCTACCTGACTTAAATAATGTTAACATACAATTATATTCCAAAATAATATTAATTCAATTTATAAATGTCGATAATTAGGAGTGTCCGTTAAATTATAATTACTTAAAGACAGCAGTTTTGCATATCGTTCCAAAGCTCTGGCAATAATTCAAAAGGGATGGCTTCGGCCTTCATCTACGACCTTCAAAAGTAGACTCAGCTTTTATGTCATAAACATATGCGTATATGGAGCTAAATTATTTTGTGTTTAGCATATACCTATATAAATCAATGATATTAACTGAAATCGAGTTTGTTTTAACCCCCGACGCAAAAAGAAGGTTGTTATAAGTTTGACGTTGATGTCTGTCAGTCTGTGTGTGTGTGTCTGTGGCATCGTAGCTCTTAAACGGATGGACAGATTACGATGCGGTTTTTTTTTTCATTGGAAAGCCAGTTTCCTTGCGGTTTTTCTTAGCTATGTTTGGATAATACCGGTCCAGCAATGTAAGAGTATCAGCTCTTTTCGAAAATGATGTAGGGCACTTTGGTGTATGATTCACGCGTGCCAGTGTAATCGTTAAGTGACAATTAATTTGCGTAGGGTTTTTTTTTTAATTTTTAATTTATTAAACTTTCTGCTGTACGTAAATTTCATAACCTGTATTTAAAATTTAGAGTCACTTTATTCGTTTTAGATTCACTTGCGACATGGCTAAACTATTACGATGGAAATAATTTTGTAAATTACAAGTGTATGGTAATATAAAGCAGAATAATAATATAGGGAACTTAACATACACCTTCTTCCTAATAATATTCTGATTAACACCTGAAAATAGAAAAAGGACATAGTACTTAACATATTACATATTTATATCTTAAAATATTATCGGCTGTCACCGACTTCGAAAGTATCTGATTAGGTATCTATTCTAAATAAAAACCTCCGTTTTGTTATTTTTTATTTTTTCATTTTTAGTGTAATAAGCAGGTAATTTGTAAGAAGAAAGTTTTTAATAACGTATTCGATTAAGCAACTTATTCAAAAAAATTGTTGATTATTTTAAAAAACGCTCGACTGATTTCGTTTTTATATGGGACCACCTGGGAAGTATTTATTTAGTATTGGTTCAGGCGTCTTCAAGTAATCGGTGAACATACATAAAAAAAAAGATTCTGACGAATTGAGAACCTCCTCCTTTTTGGAAGTCGGTTTAAAAGTGATGTTTTATATCGGTAGCCTGCTAGTTCTTAAATAAAACGCAAAGTGTCTAACTTTCGAAAATTATAGAGCGGTCAATTAAATAATAAAATACATAAATTACAAAACCATCATTATATTTTTAGTTATCTTTTAACGCAGTCACAGTCACAGTTTTAAATTTAATTTTAATTCCCAAAATTAAAGCCATATTTCTTAGCTCTGATAATTCAATTCACTATCGCATGTTTTAAATATCTATTATTATGTATATGGCAAAGACAAAACGGTTCAGTAACCTTTTCTCCTCTGTCTGTCAATCGATTTGCTTTTTTTTTGTTATTTAGTAGCTATTGACGAGAGCTTTAGTGTTATCAAACAAAATATTTTTGAACCACTTAATTTCTTATTTTCAAAAATGATTATTGTTCGAATTTCAATCACTATGCGAATACTAGTTTGTATAATGTGTATATATATGTAACATATAGGTAATAAAATCTAATCTATATCTATACATATAGGTAATAAAAGTGTAACTGATCGCTGTCTGTACATGGAAGATATTTGAGAAAAACTATCATTGGGGGTCTTTATTTACGCAATAGAAACCAAAACAATGATTTTTAGAAATTTTGTCTGTTTGTCTGTGCGTTTGTGCGCGCTAATCTCAGGAACGACTTAACCGCTTTGAATGCGCTTTCACTTATGTATTGTGGTAAGCTTCACTTAACATTTAGTATTTGTTTTATTTCAATCGGTTCATATATAAAAAAGTTACGTCAATTTAAAGAATTACCTAGGGACGAACCCGAGCGAAGCGAGGGTGAGTCGCTAGTTTAATATTAAATATGTAAAAAATTTCTATGTTCAATATCGTGATGTGTATATTACTAAGTAGCCTCCACTAATAGGCCTTGATGGAAAACATGCCTCTTGGGAAATATCAGTAATTGCTTAAGTGGCTTAGATAGTTTTTCTATATTACCTTGATAGTGGAGCCCTTACTCTCAGTTTCATTAACGTACTCAGAATACTTTATACGACACTACGCTATTTCTTTTTCATAATATTATTATCAAAATAAGAATCATCAAAATTCATCCACATATATAATCACTTTATCTTGTGTGAATTTCTGCCTTTTTCAGTGCTATCCGTATTTCTTCAAGATCGCTAAAACTTAAAAAAAAATAATACATTTTAACTACTGAATGATTAAAATATTTGTATGAAATTATTGAAGAATTATGACAGTAAAATTTTTACGATTCGCGCGAAGCACTGATAGCCAAAAACCCACATGATGAAGTTAGCTCAAAGTAACATGATGAAGTTAGCTGTTAACTGTTTCTTGCCATGGTAACTGTTGTTATTGTCTGACAAATGATATATAATATTATATTCTTTCTTTAAATGATATTCTATAAATACGAGTATGTGATTGTAATATGCCTAATATGTCTTATTTAACTATTTTATCAAAATAACTCAGCATTATTATTTTATCCTTGTAAAGCTACTTACATTATCTATGTACTAAAAATTAAGTATAAATCGTGAAATCCGGAACTTTCAGTTTCACACGTTAATAATCCAAGGATATATTTTAATAAAATCCTGTAGAATACGTAGTGATAATAAATAAAAACAAACATTTCCCAAATATTTACAATCACAATGTATGATTCACATTGCACATATTCTCATTTTCTGTCGAGACAGCAACATAATCAGAATTACATTTTATCTTATTCAAAAGAAAGTATACTTCCGGGTAAACTAAACGGTCCTAGTCTAGATCGGATATCGACGGCCCTGACAGCGAAATAGTATTCATATCCCGCCATAAATTGTGTCAAAATGCATGCCATAGGCAAAGGTAGAGCTTTGACATCACCAATTTTCTTCCATAGAGCTGTATTTGGGGGTAAAGATGTCTCTTGATATGCGTATAACTGATAACTAGCTATTTCTTCATGGTTTTCTTCTTGGCATTCGTTTATTTTCCATGAGATAACTATACCATTTTCTACTTTAGATAGTTTAAGTTCAGGTGCGGGAGGTAAAGCCTTCCAGTTAGGAGGTTGACATTGTTTTATAGAATCCGGTAAGGGCGCTGGATGCCTTGCAGCTATTCTAGACATTCTTACTGAGGTATCAGGTTTTGGCAATAAGACAGGTCCTTGTAACCTCAGATCTAAAATAATACATTTTAAAATTAATTATTAATGCTTATAAAGGTGGACTTTAATGACAAATTTTAAGGATTGACCTGAAATAAACAGTAATAATAATCAATTAAAAAAGTCATTAAATAAGTATGATTTATTTTAAATTAAAAAATTCAAATACAAACTTAACTTACCATGAGAAAACAATTGTTGAAACACAATAGCGTCTCCAACTTGACTTTGTGAACCGCTTATGGGTTTATACACTTTCCTTGAAGTGTTTACTGAATTTGCGAACTGTGGCCTTTGTGGAGTTAGTAGAGATTGTTGTGGAACCAATTTAGCAGGTACCGCTATATTTCGATGATCAACCTTTGAAGGAGGTTCGTCATCTGTAAGATCTTCTGTAATAGAATTCCCTTGCTGCATCTTGTCATATGAACGTTTTTCCGGCTTAGACATAGGCGGTGAAATTTTTATTCCATTTGGTATACTGTTTTTCGTTTTTGTTGCTATTGGCGCAGGAATTAGGACTTTATTATTTGTATTAATACTGTTAACAGCTGGGACTATTTTCGGTACATGGTATTGTTGATTATTCTGATTTTGACCTTTAGGTGATTTCGGACACTGACATTTAGCTGACTTGATAGAATTGAGAGGTAGCTCATTTTGGTATTTATTGGGTGTCATAAACTTTTTACTACTTGGCGTCTCCTTAATCAACACCTGTATACCAATAGATCGAGTTTTTTTCAAAGGAATAATTGAGTTTTTCTTCTGTTCTTCTTGAATTGATTTTAAAACAACCTGGAAGACTCGGTTTTGTTTCATGAGTATTTCAGGTTTTTTCTTATAGTCTGCTATGTTAAGTGCCATCGACTTTAACTGTAAGTTCATTTCGCTTGAATTGCTTCGATCGACAACGCTTTCTACGATTTTTAGAATACAAAATTCTTCGAGTTCTTCTCTTGTCATTTCTGCCAAATTCTTTTTACATGATTTAAGGAAATTTACTGGCAGTAAGGGTTTTGGCGATAACGTGCTATCTATTGATGGTTTTTCTTGAGTTTTTTTATCTTGTTTTTCATCTTTAGACTCCGTCTCCGTAACTTTCTCGTCCTTAACTATTGATTCTCGCTCACCATCTGAAAATAATAATAATATATATTAAAAACCGCGTGAGTGAGCCGCATCATAAAGTGTTATTAATGTGACAATTTGAGTATTATTTTTAACATTCTTAGTTTAAACGTTTTTAATAACAGATAATCTAGACTACTAAATTGATTTTATATATATATATATATATATATATATATATATATAATAAAAAATGTATGTGTACTTATGTGCAGAGGTTATACTTCTTTGGTATAACAAAACTAAAATAATTCCACAATAGGTTTAATTTCTGTCAGAATATAATAAATTGATGATAATTGCTATACGGTAAAGATGGATTTAAATCCATAACAATTTGCTCACCAGTGGAATGATTAATTATTAAGTGGTCTGAAGAGTTAGAATAAACAGTGGGTACGTTTGATTGAGGTAATTCCTGATCCATGATTACCTCTTCATTTAACGAATGGCGTTCTTGATCCAGTACAATGTCTTGATTAGATAATACATGTTTAATCGAGACACTAGCTGTTTCTCGACAAATTTTACCGACTGCAATATCGTGACGTTGGCGAAATCGGTATATCCAGCTTTCAGAGCATTCAAAGTTAGTCTTTCCAATGAGTTTGGCAAAATGATTAGCTTTTTCTTGTAACAGTCTACCACTTATAGGAACATTTTGGCTTCTTTGATCTTTGATCCACAATAGAAGAGCACTTTCGATATCTTGATGACTTGAATTGCGATTTTTTTTAATTTTCCCAGATTTTGATACAAAACACTCCATTATTTTAAAGCGGTTTTTCCACATTGTTGATATTGTAGAATGTGAAACGTTGAATTTTTTGCACAGATCAACATTGCTTTCACCATTTTTCAACCTCATAATAATATCTACTTTTTCTTTAAAAGTGAACGAACACCTGATCGGTGGCATGATAAACACACAAGTTAACACAGCGAAGAGTACTAAGTAACTACGGAATTCTTAAATTTAACTACCTACCTGACTATTCATAAACTGCTGACCATCTGTGCATGTAAACAAAAGATAAGAAAGCTTAACATACTATGAATGAATCTATGTGCGTTGGTTGATAGAAGCGGTCTTTGTGTATAGATTTGGTCGCAACATCTGCATGGGATTTCTAGGAACTTGTGACAAATGGTTCATTAAAACTAATTGCTATACGGGAAATCGGCGTTAAAGCCAAAATCGCGATAGCTACACTATTTACCTCTGAAAGTATACTTTAAATTCAAGAGACTAAAGTGTAATGTCGCTATAATCAAAGAGTAGTTACAAAAGAGGACGTTATAACTGAAATCTGTTGTGTACTAGCAGCTCACCCTGGCTTCTCTCGGGTTAAATAGATATAAATAGTTATTAGCCAGCGTTAGCCAAATAATTTTTTTTTTCGTTAATTTTTCTGATGTTTTAATATTTATTTTCCTTTTCCGGACTAAGAGAAATCCAAAAAATCAAATATTTTTAAAATTGGTCCAGCCGTTCTTGAGTTATAAATGGTGTAACTAACACGACTTTGTTTTATATATATATATATATATATATATATATATATATATATATATATATATATATTTACATAATTTTATATTTTTTTCTCTTTATAAAAACTTTCCGTGTACCTTAAGGAACATACGAAAAAAAATTAACTGAATTTATCGAGCCGTTCTCAAATTTTTGCGCTAAGCAACATTCATTTTTATTTATATAAAGAGATAGATAGGTGTACCTAGGTACGATATTTGAGTCCTAAATGTAATACGACGCTTTTTAATACTGAAAATTGTACTTAACAATTATTTTACATCGTAGTGATAACGCCATTACTACCCGTAATAATAAAAATGAAAAAAAGGTGAAAATTGATTTCATAATAATATATTATAAACGACACTCCGTTATGTTATCCTTTTGTCTGACGGTAATCATTGCTTTAATCAACATAAGTAGTATAAGAATCGGCATTAAATAATGCTACCAAATTATGTTTGTATATATATATATATATATATATATATATATATATATATATATATATATATATCACAATTATATTGATATTTACAATATATATTTGTAATATCTTCATTCAATTTACTATACTTCAATCAATATTAATCTCAAAGTACTTCTAAAAGCTCTTTGTAGGTCAGAACAAAGTAAAGAAGTGATAAAAAATCAAGAAAACTTTAAAATGTTCAAGCTCTAAGCTAGTACGAGTAGCATCAACTAGTTTTTCAGTTGTTCGAAGTTTCACTTTTTCAATGCCTTCTTTATTAAAGAATATATAATATCCTATTACAATTCCTCATGTTTATTCGTTGTAGGTAATATGTTATTTTACATTAATCAGAAAGTAATTATAAAACCTAATCTACGAAAAGTAATTGTAAAATATAAAAAATATGTATATTTATTGTTTAATGGTTTTAAACTTGTCCATGTTTCACGTAGCAAATAACGTGATAATGAAGGCAATTTATTTTATAAGTCAGAGAAGTAATTTTCCTCCCGGTACAATCACGGGCAATGAAATACTGCTTTGCCTAAAAATTATATAATTTTTAAGATATTTTTACTCACTACTTTACTCTTAAATTTATCAAAATAATTCAAAATACGACGTAAGACTTCAATAAGAATTTATATAAATTACAAGCAGATATTTTATTTGCTTCGCTCGCGCTAAACCTACAAAAAAACTAAAAAGGTAGGTTTCACACAAACTACGGGATGAATTTTGAACAATTCGAAGACACGTATTTATGTAATTGTATTGAAGAGCATTAATACCAAGTTTCAAGTAATTCTAATCATAAATAATTTTTGGGTTGTATTATAACGTGTTTTCCGGTAGGAATGAAATGATCTCCCGCGATAAAAAGTAGTCAATGTCACTCTCCAGCCCTCAAACTATCTCCACATAAATCACGTCAAATTGTCACTCCATTTCGACGAGAAAGAAAGACAAACAAACACATTTTCACATTTATAATATTAAGTATGGATAGTGGATACTCACATCTCGTTATTGACACTTCCTTCTTAAACACTAGTTCATGGCGCTTCTTAAAACTTATCAACCACCCATTGCTAGCTCGAAAAGAACTGTGTCCCAGTGATTTTGAAAAATCTTCGCCCAGATATACTTATGTTTTTATCACAACACTTTTTGAACCAGGTCAGCAACCATCCCTCTAAATCAGAAAACGAAGCTAGTCGTCGTATTTTGCGAGACAAATTGCTATTTGATTCATATCTTAGCAATATTTCGGCTTGATTCTTAATCATTGCAGACAAAGTGCTTGTTGGTATTCCTTATTGAGCTGCCACGTCTTTTTTCTTCATGCCACTTTTTACCAAATTGATAACGTTGAATTTTTCACGCAGAGTTAGTCTTCAGTTTTTGTTTAGTACTTATATTGTTGCTAATTAACAGCCAAATAAGAACTGCTCGATAGTTTTTTTAAGCTTTATTAACAATAAGCTCAAACAAACAAGGCCCACATGTGTTACTTAGAACGTTTAACGAATTCAATCATTGCACATGTCCACAAGGTACAAACAATAGATTAGAAGCACTGAACATTCGTTTTGCATTTTATTGTTATGAGTTCGGTGAATTCCAAGTAAGACGTCATAGTATTTTACTAACTTCGAGTTACGGAGTCTGTGTTTGGAAATACGAGTTATAGAGTATAAATTTAGATTATTAATATGTTAAATAATGTATAAATATGTACTACCAATACCTCGTAGGGAAATAACATTTAGTTCGAGTTACAAATTCTAAATTTTTCGAGATACCGCGTAGGGTTTGAGCAGAAGGGAATGGCAATATTTTCGTCTTTCTCAGTATTACGCCTTAGTAAGGTTCGAATTATCGAAGTTTCACTTTTATATACAACATTAACTGATATTACAAATACCTTCTATATCTTCATTCATTACTATACTTCATTCAATACACATCTCAAAAACACTTCTAAAAGCTCTTTGTAGGTCAGAACAAAGAAGTGATAAAAAATCAAGAAAACTTGAAAGTGTTCAAGCTTTAGTAACTCGTGGCATCAACTAGTTCTTCAATTGTTCGAATATTCACATTTTCAATGTCTTATTTACTATAGGATTTATAGTATCCTACAATTCCTCGTGTTTTTCGTTGTAGGTTATATATTATTTTAAATTAATCAGAAAGTAACTAATTATGAAACCTAATCTATGAAAATTAATTGTAAAATATTAAAAAAAAATATTACTTGTGTTTTATACTTGTCCATGTTTCAAGAATAACGTGTTTTGTAAGGATTTATTTTTTAAGTCGGAGAAGCAATTTCCCTCCTGGTACAATCACGAGCAATAAAATGTTGCTTTGCCTAAAAATGTTAAATTATATAATCTTTAAGTTGTCTTTACTCACTACTGTAATTTAAGAGTAATCTTAAATTTATCAAAATAATTCAAAATACGACGTAAGACTTCAGCAAGAATTTGTATATATTTTATTTATATTTTATTATACAAAAAAGAGATTGTGATCTGAGTGTAAAGACAAAATGAAAAATATATTACTATATAAAGCAAATTACTCTGTTCATGAATTTCTTCTTGATAGAAATCTGTGTAATGAAGAAAATTAAATCATATGCGGGATAGCATGTATGTAAATATATAAAGTAAATAAATATGTAGTAAATATTGCAAATATTTGTAAAAAAGCAACTGTTGAGTTTCTCGCCGGCTCTTATCAGCAGAACTGTCGGTGGTAGCTTCCTCACGGACCGACTACACTGACTATCGTCACATTAAATTGACGACTTAAAATTGCTTGTAAGTCTACTTAAATAAAGTTAATTTTCATTATTCACATTATTTTACCTTTCTAAAAAGCTCTTATATTGCTGTGTTCTAGAGCCCTTACATGGCTAAAGACGGCCTTTACCTAACTGTATGTCTATGTACCTTATAGTATTCTTTTTTTACCGTAAAACTAGCGACTCGCCCTCGCTTCGCTCGAATTTGCAAATATCTCAATATACAAACTTTCATCCCCATTTTCACCCTCTTAAAGGATGATTTCCGGGATAAAAATTATTCTATGTCCTTCCCAGGGTCTCAAACTATCTTCTAACCAAATTTCATAATTTCATCTAAATCGGTTTAGTAGATCCAGAGATTACCCTCTACAACGTCACAAATTCACAAACGTTACCTCTTTAAATATTAGTATAGATTAGTACATATAGATGAATCCCAGAATTTAATATTAATTCGCTTAATCTACAAATCCATCATTGAATCACATACTGAATTTATATCGCAATTTTCGACTAATTCCCTACAAAAGTATTGGTATAGGTAAACTAAAAAAAAAACATTTTTAAAAGACTTGAGCAAAAGGTAGATTACACCATCAAAGAACAATTTTTAGTTTATTATTGAAATCTGTAAGCCATTAGAATGAAGTTAATGAAGAAAATTAAATACCTATTAAAACTGAAACCGTTCGTTGAAAGCGTGAGTCAATAATGCTTTAAACAACTTGTACCGCAGTTTAACGTGTTTCATTGGATTCGCTAGTCAACAACAGTGGAAATTGCTTGAACAAGATATTTATTCAAACTAATACCTACAACGTTGTTACAGAAAAAAATATGTCCAAAATTATTTAAGCTATGAATATTAATCAATTATTATAATCAATATGATATGAATATTTAAAATTAAATAATAAATCTTTCTACCGTCAGAAAGTGATGTCTAGTAGTCCTTAAAAATTAAAATAACGAAAACGCTTATTTTCAAACGCTCAAAATCAAACAAGTGCGAGTAGACTTATAATAAATCACCCCTCAGTTACATTATGGAATTCCACCCCTATTGTTTATATATACTTATATATATATTAA